TTTCTCTTGGAATATGAAATACAGTAAACAAGCCTTTTAGCATTTGTATGGTTTCAAAAATCTATATGACAGTAGTTCTAGATAAGCTGATTCATGAAGTTGAACACTTGTGCAGTAAAAGAGGAAGAGCAAAGCCGTCGAGTGATATTAACTATTGCAGCATATCTGAGAGGCAGATAATGGATGCATAATGTTCTAGAAGAGGAATCACATGGCCCAAGTTCTGATCACAGCTTTATTAATAGTAGGATCTGTGAACTGGGCAACACAGAGTCTTGATACTCCTGATTCCCTTTCTTGTCCAAAGAATAACTGCAGAGTCTACCTGTAGCCTCAAGCTGCAGACCAAGTCATATGGTAGATTGACATTTTAAAATGCAGATCTGGATCCAAATTTACGTACTAGATAAAATTTTTTTAAGTGATTCACTTCTGGTTTGTTTGTGGGTTTTTTCAGTTTTATATGAAAAGAATTTTAGTACCATATGCATTGCAGTTCTAAATTGTATGGGTAAACAAAGATCTATAAATAATGATGATGATCCAGTAACAGAGTTAACATGTATTGGGGGCTTACTGTCTGCCAGTTTTGGAAATAAGTGTTTCACATATGTTATCTTGTTGACCTATCGCACCACCTTACTATGATCTTTGGACAACTGACTGAGGTCACATAGCCAGTATGTGCCAAAACAAGATTAGAAATCAAGACAGAGTGACTGAAGGGCCTGTACTCTTTTCTGAAAGAAAGAAAAATATATATAAATAAGTTCTTGATCAATTCCTAACTTAATAGACTCTTCAAGACATTTGCACAATGTCTGAGTAACAAAATTTAAATAACCTGATATTAGAAAAGAAAATGATAACTAAATACAACAAACAAGGCCTGAAGAATGAACATATTCTGTAAGTGGCAGTTAACAGAAGTATTTTGAGATTAAATAAATAAAATTTATTCCAAAGGCCTGTAACAGGTACACTGCCCGTATACACTATAAAGTATCTCAAAACATTAGTTACCAGGGTAAAAACCATAAGGTAAAATTTGTCTTATCACTTTAATCGTTGGGGTGACTAACCATGGAGATTTATACACACACATTTATGCTCACACATAACACATTGTGTCTATTTTATAAACAGACATCTATTTTTTCAATAGCTGCCTTTTTTATGTATAGAAGTATTAAATCAAAGGCAAGTTCTTCCTGCTTTATGTGGTAAGGAGGGTCTCCACACGTAGGAATAAAAGTAAATATATTTGTACATAATTTTAAGAGTATTAAATGCACAAGACATAGCAGAATACAGTAAAGCCAGTGAAAGCGTGAGAGACTAAAATGGAGGTTTCTAATATCCCCTTTAATGGAAAATTTCTAGGACAGCATTAAAGATAAAATGCAGAATATTAGGGTCATTAACCAGGTTTAGCCTTCAACCATGTAGTCCAATGAATCAAAGCACAGGATGAAGGCAAACCTACTTACTGCATTAAAGATGTAAAATAAACTTACCCATATGGGTCATAGAAGCCCTGGTAGGAGCTGTGTTTTAAAGATTAAAGAGAGAGCACCTTTGTGTATGTGGCTGGTTTCATATGGGCAGGGCCAGATCAATATG